TATAAAGCCAACCCAGAGTGGTATATGTTGAGGAAAAAGGAGAAAGTTTCAAAATAGAGAACAATATATTCATGAAACTATAACTGGGATGTTTGAAACTGGACAATACCAATAGACAATGTCTTGTTTTTCTTTCTAGGTATCAATCTTTTATCGTCCTTAGTCTACTCAGTTTATTAAATTCTCAAGCAACAACAACAAAAAAAGTAAATAAAGAAAATGAGCGTGTTAGAAATCTGTTCTAAAATGATTTTATTTTGTGTATGAAAATGAAAATGAAAAATGTTTTAAAATTTGTATATAAATCGGTTCTGAAAATGTGTTTGGTAGTTTTATTGAGAGATTGTTTCCAATATTAAAAAAAATTGAACTCCGTTTAGTTATATATTTCTTAAAAGATCTCCTAATATTTTAAATAATATATTAAATAATTAATAAACTTCCCAATTAATGTACTAGTAATGAATATAATATATAAATACTTGCTATGTAAGTGATATACTTACTAATTAATTAGTTGAATAAATAATGGTGTACGTAAGTAAATTAGGATACCAATTATCATACACGTGTATTAATAGTTAATTTATATATCATGAACATAGTAATTATCATTAGCAATTTAAAATACTTCTCCTAGCATATCAACTACAAATTAGTCTTTAAATCACATTACAAATAAATAGCAAAAAGAGGGAAGAGAAAATAAAAGTGAGAAAAGGAAAGCGACTTTTAATCATGTTGAGAAAGCTTGTCATTTTACGAGAAATAGAAACCGTGTTTTCACAATTTGAATTACAACTTAAAATTTTTGTTGTTCTCTCGCAAAAATTTAAATTTAACATTTTTGTTGTTTTTTCTCATATAAAGTCAATTTTTAACTCAAATTATCAATGTGAACTCGCGACAAAAACAAGTCCCTAATCTAACATATATAGATATTAGAGTAGGGATAAATTTATTAAAAAAAATGAACTGATAAATTCAAGAAGAAAAAAATAATTTTAATGAAGTTAAAAAATATCAATGAATGACAAAAATGTAATGAAAATAACTAAGGGTCAAAGGCTCATCAAGGCTCATTACGCCTTCTATATATGTAGATTTCTTATTCTTTAACTTTTTCTTATTTCTAATCTTTTTCCTCTCTTTTTTTAATTAAAATAATTCCCTTTAAATATATCTTACTTAATTTTTTAGGTCAAAAACTCCCGAATAATTTTAATTCTTTTGCTATGTTTTTTTAAATGCATTTTTTTTCTTTTACACTAATTAATGGATTTAGCTTCTAAGAAGATCACACATTTTAACACAAGATTAAATTTACAAAATTATTCCCCGCATACCTAGCAAGTAAATCTACTAGTATATGTAAAAGATGCTTTAGAAATGAATATATTGACTTTTGTAAAATGTATGTTTAATATCTTGTATTTTGAGTCATTTTATTACACAAAATTATATGTAAAACTCTTTCTTTAATAACGAGTCTAGTCCTGTAGTAGCTCAAGTGATGCAAGACGATAGAGCTACCCGGCCTAACCCAATCTGCACTAAAGACAAGCCAGAATAGCCCGAATAAAGACGACAATGGACGCTAGGCGTTGGTCTAAGAGCACATAGATATTTACGCATTATACCACAATAAACTGAAGGGGATCGACAATTACCAGCAGGTCAAAATCTATTACAAAATCTACAAAAATCTGTTGATAAAAAAATATTGTAAGGATAATTCTAACCTTAGCTCTAGGTTTTCTCTTCCTTTTTTCTCTCTCTCTCCTCCTCATATTTTCTTCTCGCTGCTCTCTTTGCTCTACCGTCGGCACTGCTTTGGCCGACGTTGCTCCCCCGCCCATGCAACACACTGCCACAGAGAGCTCATAGCGGCGATGCGAGATAGACGACGTAAGATCTTCCGTTTCAGTTCTCCTCACCGCTCCATCGGCCTCCGCACCAGCCTCACCTCTAGACGATCGACGCCGTCGCGAGTAAGATCTCACGCATAGCAGATTCGTGAACAAGGAAATTGTCCCACTGCCCCTTTCGTACAAAGCCGTCAATGAGGCGTCGACGACACGCCGAGGATCTGCAGCTATCTCCACCCGCGAGTTTATGGCAATGAGGCTATGTGATCTCCTTCGGAAGCTGCAATGATCTCCTCCACAAAGTCGTCGGTGGATCATCGCTTTTCCTCGGCCATGGGAGGAGATCTTTGTTGCACAAATTTTTTTTTTCTTGTTTTTTTTTTTTTTTTTTGCCAACGATTGTTTGTGATTTTCTATGATTTTTTTTTGTTTGTATTTTTGAAGTTTCTGGCGACGAGACTGCCGTTGTGTCGCCGGTACTGGTGGTTATTAGTTGGTATTAGGGCGTATAACGACTCTTATCATGGCCAGATACCATTATCAACGCATTAATCAGAGAGCTTTAGTGCTGTCAATATTGGCGGTTGTCCGTAAGATCTTTGTTGCACAAATTTTTTTTTTCTTTTTTTTTTTTTTTTTTTTGCCAACGATTGTTTGTGATTTTCTATGATTTTTTTTTGTTTGTATTTTTGAAGTTTCTGGCGACGAGACTGCCGTTGTGTCGCCGGTACTGGTGGTTATTAGTTGGTATTAGGGCGTATAACGACTCTTATCATGGCCAGATACCATTATCAACGCATTAATCAGAGAGCTTTAGTGCTGTCAATATTGGCGGTTGTCCGTAAGATACCGCCATATATCTCGGTCAAATATTAATATTATGGTTGGATATCGACATGTTTCTCAACTAGATATTGGTATTATGCCCATATACCGACCGATATTATTAGGATATATATTTAGTGTTGACGGCTGAATTTCGTCAACAGAAATACACCGGGTTACCCACTAGTATCCCGTTGGGTTACCGGCTGGAAATTAACTGTATATTTGAGATTATGCTATGAAGTGTTTGTTGTATTTCTGGAAGCATGAGAATAATGCTTGAATGAGAAGACACGCGAAATTTATAGTGGTTCACTCTGTTAATGAAGAGCTACATCCACTTGTGTATTGTATTTCTCTTGGGATTTTTACAATTTACATACACGTATATTCTCTTTTATTCAATACTCGAGTAAATCCTTCCCCTTCCTGTATGGGGCTTTGCCCCTTTTATAGCCCAAGCTTCCTTCGGGGGTGGTTTTCCTTTGTAGGTAGAAGTACTCAAGTGACCTATCTTTTTAGGCCTAGATCGTAGCCCGCTAATCACCCTTTGGAACTGTTCACTTAGCCAATTGGTCTTCCATTATGGCTCTAAGGATTCCTGTAATCCTCCACTGCCCACTGTAGGGCGGTTTAGGGGATTGTAATTAATGCCTGCCCTACAGACGTCTTCCATCCTTAGACGCAACTTATGGTGTCAGGCTCCTTTTTGAAGAGTATTCCCCTCGTCTACGCTGCGTAGAGCTCATGTCCTTCTTGGCACTCGATCTTTTTCAGGAATTCATTTTCATAAGATCGACGGTACGACTGGTCGATGGTACGACTGGTCGACGGTATGTCGGGTCGATGCCTTGAGTTGGGCCTTTCTTTGCAGCGTAGAAGGGAAGCGAGCTTCAAGCGTCGAAGGTTATCACCTTTTGAGGGAAAACAAAGCCACGTGTCACGCTGTCACCGTTCCACATGTCACCCATATTTTCCCACACAACATTTAGTATTTAAAATATGGTGTAATGACATGTAATATTTTTTATAATAATTTATGTCACCTGATATATGTCAATATATAAGTCTAAAATTTATGGTTAATGCGCTTTAAAGCCCAAGAGCACATGCATTAGCCCAACCTAAGTAAGGCCCAAACCCAAACCTGCTTTTACCCTCTATATCTTAAGCTTAATTTATGGGTGCGTTTAGTTGGTGTATTCGTATTATAATTTGAATCATGATTCGTGGTTCGTTACAGTATTTTTTTCACAAAAAACACACGTAAATCGAAAATAGTTCTAAATCATTATTCTAAATTCATGAACCAAACGTGTACTTAATTCCTACATCATTCTCTCGTTAAAAGAGAGAATTCGTTTCTCTTGGAGGGGCGTTTCGTTGCTCTCTGTTTTGTTGCCTAAGTCTTTTTTTGTTTCCTTTTTAGTTTTTTAAGTTTTTTTTCTTTTCTTTTCTTTCCACCCTTATATTTTTTATCACATTTTTTAACATTTTATTTTTATAGATTTTTAAATATGTCCCCTTTAAATACTTTTTTACGGTTATTTAGAATATTATTTTTTTTCTAATTATCCTACTAAGTTAATTTTTTTTAAATGTGTCCTTATATAAACATCGTTTGTGTGTGATCTTCATAAATTATAGCTTCAGTTGAAAAACATTTCACAAAAAGCTTTTTTTCTTAAAATAGTTTAGTGACATTTTATTAGACAAAATTAACAATTTCCATTCAAAATTTAACAGATGAACCATTTATATAACTATTTTTGAGTTTAGGGTATGTTTATAAAACATAATTGATTACATGAACCAAATCTAGAAAGAGAAAAAAGTTCAGAAACTATTCATGAATTTAATTATTTTCTTTATCTTTTATTTATGGGTTGTTAACATTTTTAATACATTTTGTAAAGTTTTAACTTTTAGCAAATTAAATAAAAGGGTAAATATGTTATTTTATGTCTTTTGAGCATTCAAGGTAAAAAAACGTGTTTTTTAAAATATTAATGCACCGTTTTAATATTATTAAATCTATAGTATTAATAATATGTTTTTCTATAATATAGCATGTCGAATTGATTTTATCCCTTAAAAATGTAAAACACCTCTATTCTATAGTATTTACAAAAAAATACACAAGGTACCGGTTTCTATTTATATTTATGTTATTAATGGTACCATGGAGCGGAAAAAACACAAATTCATAGGAAGAAGTTCAAATGAACTCCGAGAAAAGAAAAAGAGAGGTAAAAAAAAAAAAGATTTGAAAGTAGGGATAATATCGTAAAATTACATGCATTCCGCAGGTTGTCTGTACAACTTCCTTTCCACCGTGCCATCACAAAAATCACACCAAACGCACTCGCCGCACCTTCCCTCGCTCTCTCTCTCTCTCTCTCTCTCTAGATGCTGTTCTAAACTCAGTGGTCTTCTTGTTTCTGAAACCCTTGCGCATTGTCATGGGGCTGAAAGGGATGGCCCAGAAGGGCAAGGGCATCTCCGATAAGGGCAAAGGAAAAGCGGTGGCGGGAAATGGGTCCTCCGGCGCCAAGAGGAAGTTCGATGACGGGAAGGAGAAGTCCGCCGGAGGCGGCGGCCAGAGGGGGAATGACTCCGGAGTCCTGAGGTTCTTCGACGACGCGGCCGCTGAGGCCGATGGAAGCGATGCCAGCGATGAGAGTGACTTCATCAATGGTTGCAGTTGAACCTATCTCTCTCTCTCTCTCTCTCTTTCTCTCTCTCTATATATATATATATCTGTTTCTTGCATTGCATGTTCCCGCTTGGTTTTGGATTTTATTCGATTTCATTTCTAGGGTTTTGAGGTCGATTTTTGAGCTTGTTTGGCGGAAATGGTCAATGCTTTTTTTTTTTTTTTTTCTGTGTTCTTTGCGTTTGATTTTCTAGGTTTTTTTTTTTGTCGCATTTTCTGCGGGAAATTTGTGTATTGGGTTTTACTTCGTGCGATTGTTTTCATGAACTGTGTATGTGTAATGTTTTTGGGTTTTATAGTGCTGTTGTGAATACGAAGGTCATTTTCTGGGTAGTTGGAGATTTGAGCGTTTTAAGTGTTATATTAGCATTTCTTTAAATTTATCCTAATATCTGCATTTTCTGACGTTAATTGTAGGTTACTGTGTTCTTCTTCATGTGATTTTGTTTTTTTAACTGTGTATATAGTACTTCTAAAGATTTAAAAATTTGGGTTTTAGTGTTGATATGATTTTGAAGTCTATGTACTGGGGTATTTGGAAAATTGGAGCATTTCTTTGTTTTATCCTTAGGTGTCTGCATTTTCTGACGTTAAACTGTAGATTACAAACTATTGCGTTTCTTTTATCTGATTTTGTTTAGTTAGCTGTGTATATATAATATGTCGAAATATTTTTAATTTGGGTTTATAGTATTAATGTGAATTTGAAATCCATTTTTACCCGATAATTGGAAAATTTGTTTCTTCAGTTTTATCTTGGGTATCGACATTGTCTGTTAAACGTGGGATTTCCCTTTATTGTATTCGTAGCTACAATCTCATGTTGAATCCTCATTAGTGTTTGCTCTTGTAGATATGTTCCTTAGTGAACCAATCTAGGTGATAATATAAGCTAATTGTACTTTACTAGTGGTACTATGAAGAAGCTGAGTTTCTTTTTTTTTTTTTTTTCCCCTGGCAAAATCATTCGGAGTAGATTTTATGGAAGAAGATCTTGACTCAGGACCAAAAGTCAATAGTGTACCAGGAAACTCCTACAGCATTCCAGTTATTCCTAAAGAAGAGGAGATGGATGAGGAAGAATTTGATAAAATGATGGAAGAGAGATACAAAAATAGTTCTGCATTTTTTACCTATGCTGAAAATAATCATGAAAACAAAACGTCCATTGACAGAAATTTAACGATGCCTTCCGAAAAGGATCCAATCATCTGGAAAGTCAAATGTGCCGTAAGATTTTGAACTTTCGCATGATAGTTCTTGATATTAAATTATGCCCACCACTTCTGTGTCTCTTGATTATTTTACTCCGAAACACTTGGACGCAGGTTGGACGCGAGAGGTATTTAGCTTTCTGTCTTATGCAGAAGTATGCTGACTTGAAATCGATAGGAACCAAATTGCACATAGTATCTGCCATTTCTGTTGAGCATGTTAAAGGTTTTATATTTATTGAAGCTGACAAGCAACCCGATATTAATGAGGTACTCTCTTTCCTGCAGTTTGATAGTTTTATTGTCGTTATAATGAGTAAATGTTTTATTGTTTTCATTTTTTTGCTGAAGAAGATACTAAATTCAGAGGACACCTTTTCTGGTTTAGGCATGTAATGGGATTGGTGGTGTATATGCTTCTCGAGTAATGCCAGTTCCAAGGAATGAAGTTTCTCGTTTGCTCTCTGTCCGAAGCGAGTACAATGAGATTTCTGTTGGCATGTGGGCCCGTGTGAAAAATGGGAAATATAAGGGTGATCTAGGACAGGTATTGTGTCTTAGGGTTCAGTTTAGTTTCTTTAAATGATTGTGCTACTTATTTGCATTGTCGGGATTTTACATTTGCAGGTTGTGGCTGTGAACAATTCACGAAAAAGAGCAACAGTGAAGCTGATACCAAGAATTGATCTACTAGCAATGACTGAAAAATATGTACTGACCTATTTACAACATCTTTACACTCCTTTTCTTTTCTTTTTTTCTTCCTCTCCTTCCCCCCCCTTAGTGAAGTAGTTTGTGTTTTGGAACTTCCATTTGGTATGTTACTGAGTGCTATCCATCATTTATTCCTCAAGTTACGAGAATTGGGTTGGTCAAACTCTGATGCTATTGTTGTATGGATTTCGCATCTTTAAATTAATGTTTAAAAAGTAATGACGTGCATCCTTTGTTGAATGATAATCAACTTCCTCTTGTGCTTTCGGTAATTGGGATGATTACATTTCTGAAGTATTTGCTACTCACATCATAGGGTGGAGGAATTACTGCTAAGAGAACATCCAATCCAGCACCTCGATTGATTAGCTCAAGTGAACTTGAGTAATTTTCTCAATCTCTGCTTCTGTGTTTCATTCTTTTGAGTGCCAGTTTCTGATTAGATGTCAATTTTATTTCCTGCAGAGAGTTCCGCCCTCTTATTCAGACCAAGCGCGATCAAGATACTGGGAAGGTTTTTGAAGTTCTTGATGGTATGATGATCAAGGATGGGTTTTTATTCAAGAAAATACCCATAGATTCATTAAGTTGCTGGAATGTCGTTCCATCGGAAGAGGAGATTCTGAAGTTTAGAACTTCTGAGAACAATGAATCTGATAATGCGGAGTGGCTTTCACAGCTATATGGTGAGCGGAAGAAAAAGAAGGTCAATAATGATGTCCGAATGCAAGGGAAAGGAGAGAGCTCGTCAGGGCCTATTTCAACAAATAGTTTCGAAGTGCATGGTCTTGTGTGTTTTGGGTGAGTTCTACATGATGACCTTGTTGTGGACCAAGCTTCCATAATGAACTGTTAGTTTATGTTCAATTGTCCTTGTTTGTTCCCCTTGCCACTTTATTGCGATTCTTAATTACTATTATTATTTTTTCATTGCAGCCGGAAAGATTTTGGGGTCATTATAGGCATGGAGAAAGATGATAGTTACAAGGTATTTGATTTGGTTGTTGTGCTGAGATCCCCTTTACAATGATCACTCATGTAACTGTTCTTCCCTACGTTCCAGATTCTCAAAGAGGGACTTGACAGTCCTCTAGTGGTCACTGTTCAACAAAGTGAGCTAAAGAGTGGGCCGTCCAAAATGAAATTTACAGCCTTAGATCATCGCATGAAAAGCATATGCGTTAATGATACTGTCAAGGTTACAGAAGGACCATTTGAGGTATGGCACTTATTCATGTCTCATGATCATCTCATCAAAATGTGGTTTGTATTCAAAACCACACAGGGCGTATGCCCTGAGGCGCTGCTTCTGGGTACTCGAGGCTATAGCCCTATGGTACCAGTATTATGAAGCTTATGAGGTGCACCCCTTCAGGGCTTTGGCCTTGAAACTAGTGAGGTCTAAGCCCAATTTATTTGGCTATTTGGGATCTTGTCTTTCTGACGGGCCATCCTAGTAAGTGGTCATCAAATGTAGGCATAATGTAATTGGTAACCAAAAACTAATTAAAAAATTTTAAAGCAAGTAGGATCTGTGGTCTGCATGTAAATTCTAGAAGAAACTATTCATAAAAACATAAAAAAAAAAAGTTCCAGAAAGCATCTAGTGGCTTGCATGGGTGTTTTAAAAGAAAAGTGGTGGAGCGTTGCACGCAGATTTGATAGCAGCATTCTGACCAGCAACAACCAGCGGCTTGCATGTGTGTTTTTTCTTCTTTTCCTATGCTGCTTGTAGTGTCGGGAACTTCTTTTTTCCCCTATAAGTTCGCACTTTCCTGTTTCTCCTGTTGTTGGCTGTTTGGGTAGTTGGCTGCATGTGTGGTGCTTGTGCACTACATTTTGTGGCTGTAAACTTATAACACATAAATGTTGTTTGCGCGTGAGTTAGGCCTCGTTCATTTTATCGATTCGAGTTTAGAATTGAGTTTTGCTACAGTAAAAAGCTTTCATAAATAGTCACATCTAACTTTTTTGTTATAGTAAAAAGCTCACATAACATTATAAGAAAAATGGCTATTAGCGACGACAAAAAGTCGTTGCAAAAAATAGAAAGTCGTCGCAAATGAATTTTTAGCTTCCACTTGTCGTTGCAAACCTGTCGCTGCAGTTGAATAGTCGCAAAAATAATTTTTGCGACCACAGCTTGTTGTCGCAATTATATTTGCGACGACAATCGTCGCAAATGAGTTGCTACAATTATTTCGTCGGGTGCATCGTTAAGATGACATGGCATTAAGTATTTGCGACGACATTTTTCGAATTAAGTCGTCGCAAAAGAGGCAGTGGTAGCTGATGTGGCATATATTTTTTGCGACCACATTTGTCGTCGCAAATAATATTTTAATTTTTTATTTATTTTCTCATTTTAATAATTATAATAAATATAATTCATGATATTAAATATAAATAAAAATTAAATAAAAGGAAATAAATAAAAATTATTATGGTAAAAAGTAATTAATAAAATAAAAATGTAATTATAGTAGAAATGTGCGGAAGTACAAATTGTTATATTAATAAAACTCTAATCTTCTAAATTAGTAGCATCACTAGAATTATCGCTGTTATCATCAGAAGAATTCAGAGGCGGATGAGGTGGACGGACATATGGTTCAGGAGGAGTAACCGTTGGGAAAGTCATGTTGGGGTGCATTTGAGTGATGAAATCCTTCATCATTCCGACGCTCTCGTACAGCTGGAGGTTTTGCTGGTAAGTCCGTTGTAAGTATTCTTCTACGTGTGGGTCAGAACGTGTCATAGAAGATCTTGCCGAGCGTGAGCCAGATGACAACGCATCTTTTCGATAAACTTTTTGTGGGAGTGTGCGACCCACTCTAATCTTGTGACCTCTGCGGGTGCCTAGAAATTGCTCCATAATATTTTTCTCGTTAACTGTTCTTGCCGCGGAGGATCCAGAAGTAGCAGACTGCGTCTGGATCTGCGTTTCTTTTTCTCCCTCCATCTGATGTTACAAATATTATAAGAAAAATAATTAAATACATAATGCGATTTAAATTAAAACATATAATTAAACATTGCAAGTATACGTACAAAAGTCTGCTCAGTATGAGAATTAACCCAAGTATCCCCTAGTTATCGATAACGGACATTGGTTGTTGAGTCCCTATGGTAGACTATATAGTAGTTTAAATGTATATGGATATAGTGTAATCGATTATCAAATGAACATTTATATGGAATAAATTATTAGTAAATACTTACTTTCTTATCGTGATGTTGAGAGTACGACAACCGACTATGAAAACTCGACCACTTTTGGTTGCTACGATTAAGTTTATTGATCCCTGACTTTTTCTATTTATAATTACATTCAGCGTTAGTAAAATTAACCTTTATCATATATTTTATAAAAATAACATATAAAATAGATTCAATTACCTGAAACTTGTCGGACATGAATCTATCGCAGCAACGACCTTAGTGAGTTGGATTCCTGAGATTTTTAGGAGGGTGGACCCTAACTGCACTCTTATTTTGTAAACCACCAAGATCTTTGAAATAGTCATGGAGGTCGCTTTTCCATTCCTTATAACATTTTGCAGCCTCTCTATCAACTACATACCTAAGTATACCATCGTCGCGGTCATAATCAAGGTTAAACCATTCCTGTAATACAATATAAACATCTTAAATGATTTTATTATATTGAAATTTAGATTAAATTAAAAAACAATAAAGTTGAATAATTTATACCAGCAGGCGTTGTTGAATCTCTCTCTTATGCTAGATGTCCACGTCCTTCCAAGCATCGTGGAAAGGCTCACAGACATCCCTAACATGGATTCCAACGGCACTATTGAACCAGGTGCCGTAGTTTCCAACTGCCTTCCAAGTACCTCCACGTTCGTCAAACATGGAGGTAATCTTTCCTTCCTTTGCCACTCTGGCTGCGATTTCGTGACCCTGAGCCTTCCGTCGACCTCCACAACGTCGTCAAGGTGCGGCATCATATGTTGTAGAATGAAATATATTTAGTGATCATATAATACTGATGTAATTAGTTTAACAAATTTATAATTATGTTCTAACATACCTGACTCACAGTGTGATGGCAACCTATAGGGATTAGGTGGAGGCTGCGCTCCCCCCTGAAGAGCCAGCACATGTAGCGACTGGGCCAGACATGATTGCTTGTTAAGAAGTCATCATAAACGTTATTATCTTATTTGCATAGATCTTATGTTATATGAATAATTATAATTATAAGCGCAGTACATAATTTTTATTCATCATCACTGTTAATGTCTTGATTGTCACCCTCATCATTTATGTCACTATCATCATCAGAATCGTCGATGTCTTCAATTAAGAACACATCATTATCTTTCTCAGGAGCATCGCGACCAGGAATCAATAACGTCAACATCTTATATGGGTCCTTCATACATAACCACGGGGGTAAATTATATGCAGTCACAATAATAGGCCACATACTGTATGATAGACTCATATTCCCGAATGGGTTAAAACCATTAGTAGCTAACCATAATCGAATATTTCTCAGTTCACGTGCAAATTGTGGATGTTTTTCATCAAAATCTTTCCACTCTGTACCATCAACTGGATGACGCATTAAGTTTTCATCCCTCGAACGTCCCTGCACGTGTCACGTCATTTCCTTAGCAGTGTGACGGGAATCATATAGACGCTTCAACCGATCCTTCAAAGGGAAATATCGGAGTACTTTCCGCGGAACTTTTTTTTTCTATTTTTGCTCTTCCAACGACTTATACTACATACTGGACAAGACAGCAAAGCAGCATTCTGCTTTCAAAACAAAGCGCAGCCATACTTACACATGAATTGCCTCATAGCTCAGACCCAGTTTACTCAATAACTTCTTCGCCTCGTAATGCGATGTAGGTAACTTGTTCCCTTCAGGAAGTGCATCTCTCAGTGGCTTCAACATTTCATTCATGCATTCATTAGGCCACTTTTACAACACTTTTAGATGCATTAGTTTCACTAAAAAATTCAACGATGAATACTTAGTGCAACCCGGATACAATCCGACTTGTAGCTCGGATAAGAGATCTCTAAATTCATCGTAATGTGTATCTTCTATAACTGTTTCTGTCTCACCTATTGTCTCATGATCATCACTAATCTCAGCCACATCATTTAGCACTGCAAACATCTTGTCAACAGATTCACTGACAACTGCAGCAGCAGGACGTACTTCATCATGGTGAATCCATGTGGTGTAACTTGTATCAAAACCCCATCGATGTATGTGCGCTTTCACTGTTTCGGGTGGATGCATCTCATGATTTCTACACTTCATACACGGACAACTAATACCCCCGAGTGAATTTGCATAATTCTTGCCAACTTCAATAAAATCGCATAAACCATCCCAGTTGTCATCAGACAACCGGTTCTTTAAATGTATTCAACTCTTATCCATTGGCATCTCTACTATGAAGAATTTATAAAATTTTATCAAATTTTATGAAAATTAACACAAATTATTTTGTAATAAGTATTTAACATTAGTTTATTTAATTATTTAATTATAAATATAATCTTAATTAAAATTTTATCTAATTTTTTAATTATCACATAATTATCATTAAACAAATTTTATACAAATTTTAATCTAATTATCACATATTTCAATTTCAATTCTAATTTAAAATTCACAATTCTAAATTCAAAACCACAAAATATATCTAAAATCTAAAACAAAATTATAAACCATAACAAAAATACCAAAATCAATTAACAAAATATCAAAATATTAACTTACAAAATCCAAACCTACAAATACCGGGGGTTGGAGATCGGTAAGGCAGCAAGAAAAGAGGACGCTGGCGGTCGGAAAACGGTGAGTGCAGCCGGAAAAGTGGGAGGCGAGAGGGAGATGTTCTTCACCTCATTAATATTTATGAGAATATTCTTGAGGAATATACCCTGGTTCCTTTTTTGCGACGATAATTTAACAATGCCGTCGCAAATAATTTTGAGGAAACCGCCAATGTTTCCGCCCTTTTTTTTGAAAAAAATTAAATCCCATGTTATTTGTGACGACACGTGTCGTCGCAAAAAACGGTCGTCCTTGATAGAATTTTCTGGAACCATTTTTTCTGACGACACATGTCGTCGCAAAAAAGTTGTTCTGAAAAGAATTTTCTAGAACCATTTTTTGCGACGACGTTTTGCATAGTCGTTGCAAAAAAAAAAAGAAATATCTGGAACCCGTTCGCGAGAAACCGCCAAATTTGCCGCATCTTTTTGGCCACGTCACTGCCAGCTGTAATCATCAATATTTGCGACGACATGTCCTCGCAAATAATGTACAAATTGGCGCCAGATTGGTTTTAGCGCCAATGGGTATTAGCGATGACATGTCGTCGCCAATATGCCATTCCATTTTAGCGACGGCATGTCGTAATTATATAAATTTTGTGCAACGACATGTCGTCATAAATATTGAATGCGACGACAAGTCGTTCAAAAATTTTGTTTTCTTTTAAGCGACGACATGTCGTCGCTAATACTGTAATTTTAGCAACGACAAATGTTATCGCTAATAACCCTTTTTGTTGTAGTGTAAAGTCACATCTCAACTCGAATCAGCAAACTAAACGGGCCTTAGTTAACTGCGAACATGAAAAATCTAAATGACTTATTAAAGAAACAAAACCAGTAATTGTACTTTTCTTATGGCATTAACTATATGTCCGCTATGTTTCCCTATTTACGCTATTTTTTCTTTTACTTTGAACTTCTTGCTTCATTGATAACCTAGGAGATGGTCTATGATGTTACGCTTTTGAATCCTTTTAATGGTTTATTTAGGTGTTTTGGGAATTAACTTATGCCTTGATGCGCCTTGGGGCTTAAACCATTGCCTCAGCCTAACAAGTACAAAACGCCTCAGTACCAAAACTTGTTAAAACATTTATGTAGCTTACTTAATATGCTTACTGAGGCTAGAATATTTTGCAAATATTTCTCTTTGCAGGGTAAGCAGGGTATTGTTAAGTTGATATACAGAGGGATCATTTTTTTGTATGATCAGAATCAAGAAGAAAATGGTGGTTATTTCTGCTGTAAATCTAGAATTTGTGAGAAAATCAAGCTTTCTATTGAAACTTTTAATGAAAAGGTTGGAGCTCCTTCTTGCCCACTTTTTAAATATTATCTACTATATGCTTATGTGTTTATAGTAAATTTCTCCCTCATTCAGGGCAAGGAATCAGATTCTGTTGGTTGTGAAGATTTTTTTTCATCGTCCCCTAAATCCCCTTTATCACCTGAAAAGCCACCTCAAGCACGGGAGTTTAACCGTGACTGTATGTATTCTAGTCATCAATGCTATGTTCTTAAGTTCTCATTTGTGGCTACTGTACCAAGCGTTTGTTCATCACCCATTGTATCTTGAATGCAGTCAATCAACCTGGTAATGATGGGACTTTCTCTATTGGTCAAGCTTTAAGAATCCGCGTGGGACCATTGAAGGGATACCGCTGCCGCGTCTTAGCTATACGTCGTTCTGATGTTACGGTTAAACTTGAGTCTAAGCAGAAGGTTCTTACAGGTATGTCAAGCCTAATTCCTGATCGGTATTATTGTACACTCATTTATGATTCGATGATGTTCTGTTGCTTTATAAATTATTATATTTAGATGTTGTATCTTGCATTTAGAAGTCAACTTTTTAGAATATTCCACTGTGCAGTTAAAAGTGAGCACCTTTCTGAGGTTCAAACAAGAAGCTCTGTTGTGTCTCTTAGGTATGCTTTGTAATCGTGAACCGTTTATCCATATCCAGTGATTATAATAATTGTTTTGATGTGCCTATTTCTCTTTCATTAGTGAGGATCCTGGATCTAGTACTTTTGATATGCTTGGAAACGAAGGAGGCTCTACAGGTGTCTTTTGACTCTTCCAATGTCTTTCTCGTTGAATGCCTCTTTTCCATCATCTGTTCTTGTTTTGATTGTCGATGGCATTTGACTTAAGGAAATTTGTCTGATATCTTATTTTTGAAGAAGGTGGAGCGGCAGGAGCCAGTGATGGGTGGAATGTTGGAGGGCCATCCGGTGAAAGGTAACTTTTTACTCCCCCAGCCCAAGTCAATTATTTCCTGACCAGAATCCAATACATTCTGAGATCTGTAACTATATTAACTTTATAATTGAATTTGCATAGAGTCCCATGAGTCCAACATTCTTATATCTGTAACTATATTTCGTTTTGACAAACTTTTTTAGCTTTCTCGCTTTACTTGAAGTCTCTTGTATGATAATTGTAGAATTTTGGGGGAAAATATTTATTCTTATTACTCTAAACATAACCGGAAAAATAAGAGATTGAGAATCTAATCTTCTTCTAGATAAACTCTAAATCCTATCTTTAACAATCCTTATTCTATACTACAAAATTTAAACTCTAGAATTTAAATCTTATTGATAACACATAAACCATAACTAAACCTATCTACTCCTAATTTCCGACACTCCCCCTCAAGTTGGAGCATAGATATTTATCATACCCAACTTACTTGTCAAAAATTCAAAATGAGACCGTAGAAGCTCCTTAGTCAAGATATCAGCTATCTGCTGCTGTGTAGTTGGAACAAACGACAAGCAGATGATTCTCGCTTCAAGTTTCTTTTTAATGAAATGTCTATCAATCTCTTCGATCATGTTGTACGGGGTTATGAGCAATGCTAATGGCAGCTTTGTTGTCACAATAAAAGTTTCATTGGACTCTCAATCGGCCTCCTTAATTCTTCAAGAATCCGCTTCAACCACAGAACTTCACATATTCCATGAGCCATTGATCTGAACTCAGCCTCAGCACTACTCCTTGCCACAATACTTTGCTTCTTGCTTCTCCATGTAACTAAGTTACCCCAGACAAATGTACAGTACCCAGATGTAGATCTTCTATCTGTAATAGATCCAGCCCAATCAGCATCGGTGTAGACTTCAATACCTCGCTATCCATTTTTCTTGAAGAACAATCCTTTCCCGGGGGTACTCTTCATATGTCTCAAGATTCGGTGGACTGCCTCAAGATGCTCTTCATATGGAGAGTGCATAAACTGACTCACGACGTTGACATCAAATGCAATGTCTGGGCGAGTATGTGATAGATATATCAGTTTCCCAACCAGCTTCTGGTATCTTACTGTGTCCACCGGCGTTCCTTTTTCTCTTTCTCCCAGCTTTAGGTTCGGCTCCATTGGTCTTTCAGGAGATCAAGAACATACTTTCGTTGAGAGACAGCTATGCCCTTCTTGGATCTTGTGATTTCCATGCCAAGGAAGTATCTCAATTGTCCCAAGTCTTTAATCTCAAACTCAGAAGTTAAGCACTGTTTCAACCTCTCCATCTTTGCCAAGTCATCTCCAGTGAGGATGATATCATCCACATAGACAATCAGAACTGCAGCTTTCCCTCTGGTTGAGAACTTCATAAATAGAGTGTGGTCTGTCTACGCCTGAGTGTATCCATGTCTTTTCACACACTAAGTAAACTTTTCAAACCAAGCCCTTGGTGATTACTTGAGTCCATAGAGTGATTTTATCAACTTGCACACTCTAGAACCAATTTTTTTTATCAAAACCGGGAGGGGAGGCCATATAAACTTCTTCTCTAGATCCCCATTCAGAAATGCATTCTTCCAGTTGTTGTAGTGGCCAGTCTAAATTCACAGCAATAGACAAAAGTACTTGAACTATATTAAGTTTTGCGACAGGTGCAAATGTCTCTGAGTAGTCTATCCCATATGCCTGTGTGAAGCCCATAGCTACTAACCGGGCCTTGTACCTTTCTAGTGTGCCATCTGCATTGTATTTGACTGTAAAGACCCATTTGCAACCGACAGTTGCCTTTCCCACCAGTAGGTCGACAACTTCCCAAGTTTCATTTTTTTCTAGAGCCCTCATCTCTTCTAGAATAGCCTCCTTCCATTCAGGAACATTTAGAGCCTCCTGCATTGTTCTAGGAATTTCTACACTAGACAATTGTGAGGTAAAAACACGAAGAGAAGGTGATAATTTTTCATAGGACACAAAGTTGGACAAGGGGTGTTGTGTACAAGATCTAACCCCCTTACGATGAGCAATAGGAACATCCAAGTTATTAATAGACTTAGCTTGGACACTAGTCTCCAAAGATTTAGATTGAGACAGAGATGTACCTGAAGGGGACTCTGGATCCGTTCCCAAGTTGGATTCATGGCAGTGCTACAAAGGAGGGACTCTCTTTCCTTGAATCGGTTTTCTTCTCGAGTAGACACGGAGCTCTTGAATTTTTCCACTTGGTTTTTCACACATCTCTATTCCTAACTGGTCATCTAATGGCATTGAAGGAGGTCCTCCATCATTCCCAATTTCTAAAATATCATTTTCTAGATGTGGATTTGGACTTGATTCTAAAGACATAGGGTGTCATTCTCGGCAGCAGCAGCAGGAAAGGGGTCATTCTCGGCAGCAGCAGTAGTATTATGGTATTCGGCAGCAACAGGATCAAGCACAGCAGGAGGGTCAAGTAGGTCAAGTTCAGTTTCTAACCTCACATCTTCACTATCACTACCCCCCTGAAGATGATTCTTACAAAAATATTTCCGTGTTTCAAAGAATGTCACATCCATAGTTACAAAAACTTTTTTTGAAATTGGGTCAAAACATTTGTACCCTTTTTGTGTTGGTGAGTAACCAATAAAAACACACTTGTATGCCCTTGGATCCAATTTTCCCCGATTATGATTATGCACATGAATGAATGCAACACAACCAAATACCTTAAGTGGAATATCAGTGACAAGCCGTGATGTGGGAAATTTCTGCTTAAAACAGTTCAATGGTGTTTGAAATTTCAAAACTCTTGTGGGCATTCTATTAATTAGGAACACGGCAATAAGGATTGCTTCACCCCATAAGTATTTTGGAACATTATTTGTAAAACGTAGTGACCTAGCAACCTCAAGAAGATGTTTGTTTTTTCTTTCCACCACCCCATTTTGTTGAGGGGTGTCATTGCAAGAACTTTGGTGTACAATTTCTTTTTCTAAAAAAAAATTTGCCTAAGATTTTATTAAAATATTCTTTCCCATTATCACTTTGGAAAACCTGAATTTTAGTTTCAAATTGTGTTTAAACCATGTTGTAAAAGTTTTTGAAAACTTCTTCTGCCTCAGACTTTTCCTTTAATAGAAACACCCAAGTTACCTGTGTGTGATCATCTATGAAGGTGATAAACCATCTTTTTTTTAGAGAAAGTGTTAACCTTAGAAGGTCCCCAAACATCGCTATGGATAACTGTGAATGGTTTTGAGCCCTTATAGGGGCTGTGGAGGAAAGGAAGCCCAGTGATGTTTTGACAATTCACAAATCTCACACTGAAATAAAGATGGACTTTTATTGATGAACAATCTAGGAAACAAATATTTAAGATATTGAAATTTTGGATGTCCTAACCTAAAATGCCATAACATGACTTCTTTATCGCTAGAAACAGAAATAGACTTAAAACAAGTATTTTGAGCTTGTCTTCCTGAGCTTGATCCATCTTCAAAGAAATAAAGTTCTCCACTTTGTCTAGCATTGCCAATCGTCTTCCCCGAGTTCGAATCTTGAAACTTACAAGAAGATGTGGAAAAGTGAATTTGACAGTTTAAGTCTCGACTCTCGAGTTAGTTTACTGACAAACAAGAGATTACATGACGAATTTAGAACATGAAGAACATTTTGAAGAGTGATGAATGGAGAGATAGCAATGGACCTTTCCCAGCTATGGCTGAAAGGGATCCATCCGCTATTATAATTTTTGATTTCCTGCACATGGACTATATGAAGAGAACAATTTTGATGATCCTGTCATGTGATCAGTTGCACCGGAATCTATGATCCACGAGCAATTTATATCGGAATCGACTCTAACAAGGGTAGTGAGGTAGTTACCTTTATGGGCCAGAGAACATGATGGATTTGAGGACTTTACAGAGAATTGTGAGGATTGGATGATTTTCAACAAGTGGTCTATCTGTTCCTTAGTGAATGGAGAGCTTTCTGTTGAGACTTGCTGCCCTTGGTTAGCATTTGAAACTTGGAATGCTCGGTCACCCCCGTTATTCTTTTTCTTCCAGTTCAGCGGCTTCCCATGTAATTTCCAACATGTTTCCCGTGTATGCCAAGGTTTCTTACAGTGATCACACAATGGCCTATCATTCTTCTTTGTGTTTCTCCTGTCTCCGTCCAAGTCAACCCCCCGAGAAAACAAGGCAGAGGTTTCGGCCTCTGTTACTCCTCTTGCTTCTTCTTTCTTCATCATCACACTCCTTCGCTTTTCTTCCCTTCACTTCAGAGAACACCTCTCGGATGGATGGAAGTGGTTTCCTTCCTAGAATCCGACCTCTCACCTCATCTAATTCCCTGTTGAGTCCGGCCAAAAAAACAAACACTCTGTTATTCTCCACCCTCTTCATATAGTGCACGCTATTATTGGTGCAGTCCCATTCTTCCTCGTAGCATAAGTCCAATTCCTGCCAAAGGTTCACCATCTCGTTGTAAGACACCGTGACCTCTCTATCCCTTTGTCTTGCCTGCCATAGTCTTGATTTTATCTCAAATATTTGAGATAAATTTTCTAAGTTGGAATAGGTCTCTCGTATGGCATCCCAAACTGATTTGGTGGTTGGAAGGAATAAGAATGGCTTTCCAATCGATTAATCCATGGAATTGATAAGCCATGTGGTAACCATGGAGTTTTTGGATCTCCATGTCTTCAACTTTGGGTCGTTCTCCCCTGGTTTCTTTGCCTCGCTTGTCAGGAACCCTAACTTCCCTTTTCCATCTATTACAAGCTTCACGGTTTGAGCCCAAGACAAGTAATTCTTCCCATTTAATTTTTGTGCCGTCAATTGCAACGTATTAGATGGGAGATTCATGAGGGAAATGCCATCATCACTGCTTTAGACTGTGGCTAAATTGTCTTGTGAACTCTTTGCATCATCTCTCGCGGAAGAGGAACTTCTATTGGCGCCAGCCATGGCAGTTTTTGCCATTGGAAGATTAGGTTAAGAGCCTAAGCTCTGATACCATGTTAGTTTACCAATCTATTCCAAAAGCTTAAGCTTTTAGGAGGTGGGCCAACAATAGTTTTATACTTTAACACTCCCCCTCACGTGTGGGCTGGACAATGGGCAATCGTGTGGGTAAATTAATTGGAAAGCCCAACATGTGAATATTTAAGCCCGAGATATATTAAAGACTCAACACATGATGACAATTTAAATGGGGATAAAGAATGCAATTACGGGGGTTTGAATTCAGGACCTCCCGCTCTGATACCATGTAGAATTTTGGGAGAAAATATTTATTCTTATTAATCTAAACATAACCGGAAAAATACAATAGTTATATAGAAGAGATTGAGAATCTAATCTTCTTCTAGATAAACTCTAAATCCTATCTTTAACAATCCTTATCCTATACCACAAAATTTAAACTCTAGAATTTAAATCTTATTGATAATGCATAAACCATAACTAACCTATCTACTCCTATATTTCCGACAATAATGTTTTGCATTTCTTGATGGGATATAATTGGGAAACTACTGACATCAGAAGCAGATTTTATATTTTGAAAAAAAAAAGAAAATAGTTTGAACGAGAGTTTTTGTTCGTTGTTTGTGTTTTCGTTTATTATTATTATTATTATTTATATTTATTATTATTATTATTATTATTATTATTTTGTACTTGTGCATTGAAGTCCTGGTAGTAGAGATCTACGTGTTTTTATCTCATCCAATTTTGCGTCTATAGTTCACCTTGACCATTTGGAATCAGGTTGAATTACCATCTATGCATTTTCACACTATGTTTTAGCCAATTGCCATGTTTCTATTTTGTTTAGTCTACGTTGCTTTACCTCGAGTTCAATTCGAGTGACATTACTTTTTAGAAAGGTTGAACAGGAAAGGGTTCTGGGTTTCCTACTGCTCCATTTTTTTACCGAATCTAATTCTGGCAAGTAAATTCTTGTAGGAGTTCATGGCCTACTACCTCTGCTTCAGGCTTTTCGGTTTGTTCTGCACTTGTACTGTTTAATAGCAGCCTCTTTCAGTAGCAAAAGAACCAAAAAAAAAAAAAGGGCAGCCTCTTTCAGGAGTTTGGTGCAAGCATTTTGGAAAGTTGGTACTGATAGTTTTTTTTTTTTTTTTTGCAGGTTCAACCAGATTCTGGCTGGGGAAATCCTTCAAGTTCGAATGATGGGGTTAAAACAGGTATCAAGTGCATTTATGGGCCCTCTCTTCTTGCCTTTACCCCCAAAGAGTCTTTTATTGTAAATTTGTAATAGGATCAATGTCACTTTAGTTTTTTTATTTTTTTGTTGCTGTTTCGTGGGCGACTTCTAGTTCTCCGTCTCTTTCTTTCTCCTCTTTCCTACCAATGGATTCTTGTTTTTTTTAAAAAGAAATAAAAAAAAATCCAATCACAATCCATCTGCAATTAACCAAGCCTTATGCTATATTTATTTCTAGGATACAACTGCATCACTGTTTTATTTATGTACAGATGTGGAAGATGCTTGGGCGAGCAAGCTGACTCCAAAGAAGAATACATCTTGGGGTGCTGAAGCAGCTGACAATGTAGCTGGTGGGTGGGGTGAAGCAACTACCGAAAAGAATCAAGCTGTTGGCTGGGGATCAAGTATGGACTCTAAGGAGAAAGATTCTTCAAATGATGCTTCAGCTTCCTGGGATAAGAAGAATAATGTGAATAGCGACCAGGATCTTGGAAGACCATCCGAGGATCCTTGGGATAAAGGAAAGAATGCAAGCAACAATTCAACTGGTGGCTGGGGTGTAATAACTACTAAAAAGAATCAAGTTGGTAGCTGGGGTGACGCATCTACTGAAAAGAGTCAAGCTGTTGGCTGGGGCAGTATGGACTCAAAGGAGAAAGATACTTCAAATGATGCTTCAGCTTCCTGGGAGAAGAAGAATGATGTGGATGGTAACCAGGATCATGGAGAAAAATCCGAGGACCCTTGGGCTAAAGGAAAGAATGCAAGCAACAATCCAGTTGGTGGTTGGAGTGATGCAACAACTGAAAAGAATCAACTGGATTCTTGGGGCAAAGGTAAAAGTGTAGTTGAAGGAGGTACATGGGAAAGTAAAAGTGGATTTAGTGCTAGTAAGGATGGCTCCAATGATACACCTCAACAGAAATCCTGGGACACAGGGAAACATAAAACCAGTAGTTATGCATCAACTTGGGGCAATGATCAGCAGTCACAAGATATTGAATGGGGGAAGAAAAGTGCTGGGAACTCTGAACCTGGTGGTGGTTGGAACAAGAAAAGTAATTGGAACTCGGATGGTGGTGACAAAGGTGGCACTCAAGATTCTAACTGGGGAAATAAACCCAACTGGAATTCTGACATCGGTGGCTCAAAATCGGACCGTGATTCAGGTTGGGGCAAGATAAGTGGGTGCTCTAGTGATGGTGATCTTAAACAAGATAACAAAAGCGAGGCTGACACTGGGAATGTTTGGAACTCTAAATCTGGTGGCACTAGTGGAAATCAGGATTCTGGTTGGGGAACTAAAAGTAATTGGAACTCTGACTCTGGTGGTACTTCTGGAAATCAGGATTTTGGTTGGGGAACTAAAAGTAATTGGAACTCCGACTCTGGTGGCACCAGTGGAAATAATTCTGCTTGGGGCAAGAAAAGCGATTGGAATTCTGAATCTGGTAATGCAGATCAGAAGTCTCACTGGGGTAGCAAAAGTAATTGGAGCTCTGGAAGCACCTGGGGGAACCAGTCAAGAGATGCTGGAAATGAAGACCAAACGGAGGCATTCAATGAGAAGCCAAGTGGTGGGAACTGGAGAGGAGGTTTTGGAGGTAGAGGTGGGGATAGGGGAGGTTTTGGTGGCAGAGGCAGGGATAGAGGAGGATTTCGCGGGAGAGGCGGGGATAGAGGAGGATTTCGTGGGAGAGGCGGGGATAGAGGAGGCTTTGGTGGTAGAGGTAGATCGGACAGAGGAGGCTTTGGGGGTAGAGGTGGATCAGATAGAGGAGGCTTTGAAGGTAGGGGTCGTGGAAGGAGGGATGAAAGTGGTGGCTGGAACAATAGAGATTCTGGTGGGAATGGTTCTTGGTGGAACAAAGGGGAAGACAATTCTGGCGAGGGAAGTAGGAATAATGATAGTGCTGGAAGTTGGAGTCAAATGGTTGGTTCCAAAAGTGAGTGGCAGGGTGGAAGTGCAGGAAGCACAGAGAGTAAAAACGCATCTGGTGGTTGGAGCACCCAAGGGTCAAGGTGGAGCCAGTCAGCAGCGGACAAAGATGGTGGTAGTTGGGGCAAAGGAACAGGCTCAAGCTCTGGAGCTGGTGGAGGTTGGGGAAATAAAGATCAAGAGGCTGGCTGGAAAGGATCGAATTCAACTGCACAAGCTGGCATTTGGAACACAGGAACCGACTCAAGTACTGGTCATGGTGGAAGTTGGGGAAACAACTCTAAGTCACATGGTGCTTCTGGAACGGCTCAGTGGCAAGGCTCGAGTCCTAATGATCAGGATGGTGACTGGAAAGGACAAAATTCCGGCAGTTGGAGCAAAGGAACCGGCTCAAGTACTGGAGGTGGTGGAAACTGGGGGAACAACTGGAAATCATCTGGTGATTCTGGTGGGCAGCAGCCAAATTCAACTGCTGCTGAGCAAGAGGGTGGCTTCAAAAAACCGAGTTCACAAGGGGGCAGTTGGGGTAAAGCAACTGGCTCAAGCACTGGACAAGGTGGTAGTTGGGGCAAAGGAACGGGCTTAAGTTCTGGAGGTGGTGGAGGTTGGGGCAAAGGAACGGGCTCAAGTTCTGGAGCTGGTGGAGGTTGGGGTAATAAAGATCAAGAGGCTGGATGGAAAGGAACGAATTCAACCACTCAAGGTGGCAGTTCGAACACAGGAACTGACTCAAGCGCTGGTGGTGGTGGGAGTTGGGGAAACAGTTCTAAATCACCTGGTGCTTCTGGAGGGTCTCAGTGGCAAAGCTCAAATACTACTGATCAAGATGGCGGCTGGAAAGGAAAAAACTCTGCCAGTTGGAAGAAAGGAAACGGCTCAAGTACTGGAGGTGGTGGAAATTGGGGGAATAACCAGAAATCACCTGGTTATTCTGGAGGGGCCCAGTGGCCAAGCTCAACTGCTGCTGATCAAGAGGGTGGCTTCAAAGGAGGGAGTTCACAAGGGGGCAGTTTGGACAAAGGAACTGGTTCAAGCACTGGAGGAGGTGGAAGTTGGGGGAATAATGGGAAATCTGCTGGTGCTTCTGGAGGATCCAGCTGGTCTATGTCAACTCCTACCAATCAAGAGGGTGATTGGAAAGGACAGAGTGCGCAAGCCGGAGGTTGGAACAAAGGGACTGGCTCGAATACTGCAGGTGGTGGAAGTTGGGGAAATAATGGGGAAGGATCAAGTGCACAAGCCGGAGGTTGGAGCAAAGGAACTGGCTCGACTTCCGCGGGTGGTGGAAGTTGGGGAGATAATGGAAAAGCACCTGGTGCTTCTACTAATCAAGATGGTGGCTGGAAAGGTCCAAGTTCAACTGTGAAAGCCGGAAGCCGGGGCAACCAAGGATCAGATGGGAACAGTGGTGGAGGTTGGAACAAAGATCAAGCGGGGGTTTCTACTCAACCTAGTGCTGCAGACACAGATCGCTCTAGTGATGCAAAAGAAAGAACTGATGGAAGTGGATCCACCGACCCATGGGGTAAAGCAGCAGACAAATCTTGGGGCAGCGGTGGTGGTAAAGGAGGATGGTAACCGCTCTGCAAATTCTGTTTTGGTTACCTAACAACTAATGACTGTAAATAATGTTCTTTTCTCTCAGTTAGGAAGGGGCCTAGTGCCTGTTTTCTAAACCTTGAACAGTGTGTTTTGAAAGTCCTAAACTGATCTTTATTTTGAGCTCTCTGAGTATTAGGTAGACTGAAGAATCCTGGCTGTATGGCTCAGTTACTGTTTATTAAAATCAATATGCATTTGATGTTGCCTTGTACAGTCAGGAATCTCATTCTCTGTTGGCTAATGTCCCGGTTTGCGTTTTAAAATTTATTGATTGAACTTGAACTTGTTCGCGTGTTCTTTAGAGCTCCAGCAGAATGACTACTAGTTGATGGTAGAAAGTAGAAACCAGACAAATAGCATGATATTTAACGTGCAAACAGAACACAAGCTGATTGTATGAACAATGAAAGTGATATTTGTTTCATTCTATTGGTATTGTTGTTAATAAGATGTATATATATTTATATTTATGTGTGTGTGTGTGTGTGTTAGAAAAGGGCATCTCTAAAATGGCCACCGCCCTACCTTCTTTTTTTTTTTTTTTTTTTTTTTTTTTTCTTGAATGCAAGTGATCTTATCATATATTACTGAGCCTTGAACTTACTGCCCTATAATGTGATAACATCAGAATAAACCCACCAAATTCTCCCACAAACCTTTTCATTACTTAAAGCAAATCGCCAACAAATTTCTTACTTAATGAATAAAATAGACGGACCAATTTAATCCAGAAGTTCAAAAAAAAAAAAAAAAAGCCACTAAATTGATTATTCTTTGTCCAAGGTTTTCTTTTCCCCTTGTTTGCCATTTCATTTTTAGAAATTAGAAAGATATTACCGTTATATATATATATATATATATATATATATAAGGTTGTTCTAGCGTCCGTCCTAGGGTCCTGGCCGAATTAAAACAGTCACGTGTCGTGTTCGTATTATTGTTTTGATCATTTCTTTTTAAATTTACAGTCAATTTGAACACGATCTGCGACACAAATTTTTTTTAAAATCGCAACACGAACATGACACGACACGAAAATGACCCGTGACACGAAATTAACCCATGAACCCGAAATTGACTCAAAAATTGTATACTTTTATTTACTTTTTTACATATTAGAAATAACTTAAAATTCATAACAAACTAAAATACAATAACATCCATTGAAATTAAGCAAATAATAATATAAGATTTTAAGTATAACTATCATGATATCACAAGTTTATAATAAAATCAAAAATATGTAATGAAAAATATATGTATTTTTTAGTTTTTTACGAGTTTTATGTCGTGCCCGAAATTGACTAATATTTTTCGTGTTAATTTCAAGTTGACTCAATTCTAACCCGAATATCTTTTTTCTCAACTTTAACCTGTGTAATTTATGTCCTTTCAAATCGTGTTGTCATGTCGTAACTTATATTGCCGACCCTACTACCAGCCGTCCACATAATTATAACGGATGTGATTTAATTTTGTACATAACTGGAAATGGGTACCTATGACATTCTTTGCTGACGTGTCAACACATTTGTTTTTTTTTTTTGGTTCTAAAGTTTTTTTTGGGGAAGCGTGTCATGAAATGACAAGTCAGAGAAAAAAGTCATAATTAGATATCTGATTGTGGTAATTTTTCTTTACACATTTGTAATGACGAACATAACAAAATAAGATACATATTGACCATGTTATTTTTAACGGAGCATTATCATATATGGTAGGTATAGTATTGCTTGTATAACATGACGTACAACAATGATCGTATCTTTTTAAAAATTCACAACTTTATCGTAATAACTCTGATTGAGGCAATTTTTTTTTTCTACGTGTTCATATCGACTAGTCAAATAAAACAAGATCCGCATTGGCCATATTAATTTTTACAAAGTGTTGTCATATTCGGTAAATATAATGTGTGTAATGTGATATAGAATGACGTCTATACATTTTTTTTAAGGACTCATAATTTGACCGTTGAATTTCTATGCGATTTCCATTTTACGTGTTCGTAGCAACTACTGAAGAAAAAAATTCATATTGAGTATGTTATTATTCTCTTAACATTGCCATATTTGGCACGTTTGGTAACGCTTTTGGAATGTTGTGTTTGAAAACCGTATTGCAAGAAAGGATTTGTTTTTTGTTTTGGAAATTTACCATTCGAAATTGTATTGTGTTGAACTCTCTTTTTATTTTTCGAAATGATTGAAGAAGAATTTCCATTTTTCAAAAGAAAAAAAAAACCATACACTAAGCCATAAAAAAACATTCGCGCGGGTGACCGTCATGTGTAAAGCATACGAATAGATGAGCGATGACCGGCGGAAAGCTAAGCATACATTATGCATTTAAAAAGTTAAGAATTGAATTAAATATTATTTTATGTATAGTTACCACTGAAAATGTTTCTTTTAATTAGTTTTGTTAATAATTGCTCCTTACAACAATGGGTTACCCGGCGCAAAGTGATACTTCAATACAAGCTATTTATGTACAATATGAAGAAAATTTGTGTAGCATGCAATTTGTCGCCGACCAGAACCGGTTGCGTGGGGACGTTCTTTAGCTAAGCCCTATATATTTATCTATTATCTATTAGGAGAATCCGTTTTTGAATATGGCTCCCAAGGAGCTTCCTCATGCTGTCATGTGACAACTGCTCCTTTTTCTATACTCTTTTTTTTTTTTTTTTTTCTCTCTTTTTACATTTTTATCTTTATTTTTAAAAAATTTTAAATGTTTTTTTTTAGTTTCTCTTTTAGGGCATCCTATTAGTAGGGGTTAGCCTTTTCTTTTCTCAAATTTGGCTCTATAAATATTTTTTCCCTTTTATTGTCTCATTGAAATAGTTTCTTCTTATATATGTCATAATCAACCCCCCCTATAATACATTTTTTTTCCTTTCTCAAATGTGACTCTATAAATATTTTTTCCCTTTTATTGTCTCATTGAAATAGTTTCTTCTTATGTATGTCCTAATCAATTTCTTTTTTTACAAATGACCCTCCTAAATACTTCTTTTTGCTATATATACACTTTTTTTTTTGCTTTCTTTTTCCCTTTTCTCTTCTTTCCCTTAATTTCTTTCTTCCCTCCCTTTTTTTCCTCTACAATACATTCTTTTTTCCCCTTTCTCAAATGTGACCCTCATATATATATTTCTCTCTAATTGTCCCGTTGAATAATTTCTTCTCATATATGTCTTAATCATTTTTTTCCGAAATGAACCTCTCAAATACTTTTTGACTATATGTGCCAATAAATAATATTTAATATATTGTTCTAAAATGTGTCTTTACGGAAATATTTTATATGTAATCTTTTCAAATAAATTTCTTCCATGTGTACTACTAAATAATTTTTTATTAATTCACCCTATTAAGAACTTTTTTCCCTTTTTAATGCTGCTCTATTAATATTTTTTCTATTGAATTTAATCTTTAAGAAAACAATGATAAAAAAACATAAACTATAAATTTTATAAAAAAAAAAATAGGACATCCATATAAAAAAAAAGAAAAGAAAAATGTGAATACGCATGCACAGAGCGTGTGTTTACGATTAGTATATATATAAAAGAGCAAATTAAGCGAGATGAAGTAGAAAAGTTTCAATTTTACCTTTTTTTATATATACCTTTTTTGCAAGGTGCAAAAGTTTCATTTTTAGAAATTTGAAAGATATTATCTTCTTTTCTACAATACGTTAAGGGAGCTTAGAAGTTAAACAGATGGATTTCATTTTTAGACAAGTTTGTTGTTCGGTGGCTGAGATCTCTTGATCGGTTATCTCTTTCGACGGACTTTTACTGGTTGCACTTCACCGGAGATTTCTATCGGCGGTGGTCAGAGCTTTTTTTGTTATAACTTTTTGTGTTTGTAATAAGGGCGGTGGTCTCCCTACTAGTTTGTTGTTTGTTGTTAAATATTTTTGTGATCAACTTAAAGTCAATTGTATGTCTCTTGATAAAGTGGTCTTAGTTTGGTTAGAATTTTTTTAAGTCGTGTAGATGTCCTCTTTGTGAAATTTAGTGATCTGTCCCTCTAGCGTTCAAAAGCCTATGCCAATAGGAGGAGTTTCTTCAATTTCAACCGTAAGTGTGCTCGTTATTAGTGTGCTAAGGTGTTTTTTCGTTTTTGAGTCTCAAGTTTGCGTCTATCTTTTTGATGAGTTATTAACATTATACCAAGATGATTATTTATCCAATTTTGTTTAAATGCAATTCTCCTAAAAAAAAGTTAAGGGAGATGGGAGTAGAAAAGAGCAAAAAAAAAAACGATCCAAGTCCATTTTTTTCATAAAAAATTCATACCCTTCATTTATTTATAAGAGAGAACTTAGTAATAATAGTAATAAAATAATAATTATAGGTCGGAGAAAAATGAAAAGAAAAACAGGAAAATAAAAATAAAAACAGAGTGCTCAAAAGCAAACGTTTTTCTTTCTCCACAAAAAAAAAAAAAAAAAAAGCAAACGATTTTTTAACAGAAAATCAAATGTTTACAGTTTACACTTTACCCGTTCTCTGGTTTTAATTCCGCTCTCTTTCCCATCCTCATCGTTCATCATCGTCATCATTCCGGACATATTAATAATAATTCACTTTCAAAAATTTTCCATCCAATTTTCTCTACTCCCAAACACCCCCATTAACTTTCCCTTCACGGATCAAACCCAAATGAATTTCACCATCTCTCCATCATCCTCGATCCTCCAACAAATCCCCTCACTTTCCCACCTAAAAGAGCTCTACTTTTCTCGCCCACTTTCCTCCTCAATTTCCTAGGGTTCGAGTCCAATTTCTCTTCTCAATTTCTCTCAATCCCAATCAACAACAATGTTGAACAAATTCATGAAGCGCGGCCACCGGAAATCCAAGTCGGAATCCGCCGACTTCGGCTACGGCCAGCCGTTCAACACCGTCACCGTCAACCACGCTTCTCGGACGACCACCGCCTCCGCCGCCGACAACATCAATAACTCCGAATCGCATCCCGTAGCTCATTCGCCGGCGCCGCCTCCCAACCCCGGCGTGATCGAGATCCTCCCTTTCCTAAGAGACGTCGCCGTTTCGGACCGGCCGGCCCTCTTCCTCCGCAAGCTCCAGGTTTGCTGGTTCCAATGCGACTTCTCCGACACTCTCAAGGGCGTTCGAGAGAAGGAAATCAAGCGCCAGACGCTTCTCGAGTTCGTCGATTTCATCCAATCTGGTTCCTGCAAATTGAACGAATCAATGCAGGAGGAGCTGATCCGAATGGTCTCCGTCAACGTCTTCCGGTGCTTGCCTCCCGCGCCTCACGAGAACACAGGCTCCGAAGCCGCCGATCCCGAGGACGACGAGCCGTTTTTGGAGCCTTCTTGGCCGCATTTGCAAATCGTGTACGAGATTCTATTGAGGTACCTTGTTTCCTCCGAGACCGATACTAAGATCGCTAAGAAGTACATTGATCATGTTTTTGTCTTGAAATTGCTTGAATTGTTCGATTCCGAGGACCCGAGAGAGCGAGAGTATTTGAAAACCATTCTTCATCGTGTGTATGGGAAATTTATGGTGCATCGACCTTTTATTAGGAAGGCAATCAATAACATATTCTATAGGTTTATATTTGAGACCGAGAGGCATTGTGGGATTGCTGAATTGTTGGAGATTCTTGGGAGTATAATTAATGGTTTCGCACTGCCCATGAAAGAGGAGCATAAGTTGTTTCTCTCTCGGGCGCTTATACCACTGCACAAGCCGAAATCTATATCGCTTTATCACCAGCCTTTGTCGTATTGCATCACGCAGTTCGTTGAGAAGGATTACAAGTTGGCGGAGACGGTGATTCGAGGGTTATTGAAGTATTGGCCCGTCACGAATTGCCAGAAGGAGATTCTGTTTCTGGGGGAGTTGGAAGAGGTTTTGGAGGGTACTCAGGCTGCAGAATTCCAGAGATGCATGATTCCTCTTTTCAGACAGATTGGCCGCTGTCTTAACAGCCCACATTTCCAGGTTCGCTAAGAAGTTTATTGCTTTTTCGCTCATTATAAACGCTGCTATTTCTTGTGTTCGTGGGCACACTTGACATGTTGAAAGTTTGAAACATCTTTCTTTGTTATTCTTAATTAGTGTTTTTAATTGAATCTAGATCAAAGATTGCTTTCAGGGTCGATAGGTTTATTATAGCCGATTATCAGACAGAAATTGTGTTTAAGATCTGTCTCATGTGTTTGTCCCTTCACTTAGACACATTATGCCGTGAATTTTGTCTATTCCTTTTGAATTCGTCCTTGTACCCAATGCCTCAAGTGTTATTTTACGCCTCAAGTGTTACTAAAACTCTTGGTGTATGCTTTTGCGGATGATATAGTTTTAGTTGATGAACATAGGGAAGGAGTTAACCGTAAGTTAGAACTGTGGTGACAGACTCCCGAAACGAAGGGATTTAAGCTAAGGAGGACAAAAATTGAATACATGCATTGTAGGTTTAGTAACTCAAGTAATCAGAGTGATGGAATTTCTTTAGATGGTGTGGAGATTGGGGCTTCTAGGAAATTTAGGTACCTTGGGTCTTTAGTGCAGCACGAAGGAGATATAGAAGAGGATATTCAACATAGGATTTAAGGCATGGTGAGTTAAGTGGAAGAATGTTACGGGAGTTTTATGTGATGGCAAGATGTCTATTAAGTTGAAAGGAATGTTTTATAGGACTGTAATCCGCCCAGCTATGTTGTATGGTAGTGAATGTTGGGCCATTAAGAGACAACATATATCTAAGATGAGTGTGGCAGAAATGCGTATGTTAAGATGGATGAGTGGCCATACGAGAATGGATCGCATAAGGAATGAAGTTATTCGTAGTAAAGTAGGTGTAGCACCAATAGAAGATAAGGTGCGCAAAGGCCACTTGAGGTGGTTCGGGCATGTCTAATGTAGACCGCTAGAAGCACCAGTTCGTGCTTGGGAGGACATTCTTATACCTAATACTATGAGAGGGAGGGGTAGACCAAGAATTACGTGGACCGAAGTCGTTAGGAAAGGCATTCTAGATCTAGGCCTTCAAGAAAATTTAATTTCGAACAGAGCCGTGTGGAAAAGTGAAATCCATATAGCCGACCCCAATTAAGTTGGGATTAATTGTTGTTGTTGTTGTTGTTGTGTCAGATGATACTTTCTTAGATCTTGCTTGTTTATTTAGAAATAGGCCAAGCGAAAAAAGCAACTTTTGGAAGTACCTTGAAACAGGCTATAAGTACTTTATAGAAGACTACTTTTACCACAATTTATCATCTGCAAGTAATGAACTAGTCTGCTCTGATGGTTGCTGTATGAGGATTTTGACACGTGAAATCTGCCCAACCTCTTGGGCTAATTCTACAAAAGGCAGTGATACCTTGTGTATCCACTCATACCAGCATGTTTGAAGATATAATTTGTGTGTTTCCAGCTCTGCATACATCTTGGTGTATGGATAGTAGTGTACAACATTCCCTACTTGACCTGTAGGGTCTTCAAATTAGTTCATAACATGATTTTGATGTGAACTGTATTTCGTATGGAAGACTGCTATTCAAACTCCTAGGTTTTGTGAAGTATCAAGTCAAACGAGCTTTTGTGACATGCTTATTTGATTGTACTTGCGGATTGGAATCTTATATTTTTCCAACATCATGTCTTTCACTTGCCATTTCACACCTCCATGGTGACAATAAATTATACTTGTATCGCTTACAATTTTGTAGTTTAGTTTACTTTTTATTTCTTATTTTTCATCCCTTTAAGTTTTTCATGTGCGCTAATTGCAAACATGACTCTTTTAGAGTTATATGCTCTGGTTGCCCATTCTTTTATATAAATAAAATTTGGGACTTCTTGTTCTTCTTCTTCTTTTATTTTATTTTATTTTTTTTAAGGAATCAAATGGGGACACATTATTGGCAAAAGATCATAGATTTATTTCAATGACCATTTCTACTGTTGGGTATTGGCAATCGTAGTTTACTAATATCGATGGAGGTTTCGATAATCTTCTTCTCATTTGTCTGGCTAGACAAGATAAACCCAATGGGAGTGATCTATTGGCCGTCAGATGTGGACCATAATCAAACTTTGGTCTATATTGGCGCTATAATATCCTATTAGAGAAGATGTAAATTATAGATTGGTAAAAAAGCAAGGACATTGGCTCACGTGGGAAGAAAAAATTAAAAATGTACAAGTTCTATTGGTCGCCTATGGGCTCAAATCTAAGAGTCATTCTAGGGAATTTAGTGCAAAGGCAAAAGACCCACTATTTGCTGAATCCTTGTGCAAGGAATTACAAAAGAAATTGGACCAGTATGTCCTTCCAACTTGACTTCAATATCTGGTCTGACTAATTGCCATTGAAGTATTAAAGTTGCTTATTGTCTCTCCTACTTCTTTGGACATTTATGACACCTCTCGTGGGTTAATGCAGCAAGATACCTTTATGTTTCTTTCAATGTAATTTAATGGTCTGCTGCACCTATGCTTATTAATGGTTTATACTGTCAGACTTGTTTCAGTTGCGTGGAGATGACTTTTCTTTGTGAAGTCTCCCTTGTTACTTGCAGAAATATATATTGTAACCTACTGAATAGTGTAACATTGTAAATAACTTTGTAAATTCCATATTCCTTTTTTCCTCTCCTTGTGGGGGTCAAATACTGATTTCTGTGTGTGAATTAACGTTTTAGAACAAAGAAAAGGAGAACTTATGGTTTGCTGTGTGCAGTACCAATTTCCTTCTATACTAAATTTTAAACGGATAATCTAGTTCCATTCCAAAATGATTTAGAAGTCTAGTAGTGTCTCATGTAAACTATTGAAGATGTTTTCCGTCGTGTTGATATTAATTACCTTGAGTTATAGCGGAACATTAATACATTGCGAGAGTCTGCTTTCCTTTCCGTTTGAGTCTGTTTTCCTTTTCGTTTGCATCTGTACTTCTGTTCGTGATCTTTTCTTCTTTTTATTTACAACCTGCCTCTCTTTTAGGCTTGTTTAATTGTCTATAACTTAATGGTGTTAGTCAATAGATTAGTGCTGAAGTCCTGGTTGATATGATTCGAGTACTATGTGATAAAGCGATAAAGCCGTAACTGTGAAACCCTATTATATTCTGAAGTTCAATAGAAGATCTATGCTGCAGTACTGAATTCTACATTGTGTCATAATACCTATTGGAGGTTTTGATCTTAATCGTAACACTTGAACAGAGTGACAAACTTATCGCATTCTGAGTAAATATTCTGAATGAAAGCACTACGTAGAAATAAATCCTGTTTATTCAATTTAGAGAGGTGTCTTTGTTGAGTAATAGAGAAAACACATAGAAATGCTGGTTTATTACAGATGTCATCTGAGTTTCTCAATACGTTTTGCAGGTTGCAGAACGAGCCCTTTACTTTTGGAACAACGAACACATTGTAAGCTTAATTGCACAGAACCGAAATGTGATACTTCCATTGATTTTTGAAGCATTGGAGAAAAACATTCGAGGTCACTGGAACCAGGCTGTAAACGGGCTGACGGCAAATGTGCAGAGGATGTTCCAGGAGATGGATATCGAATTATTCGAGGAGTGCGAGAGGCAGTACTTGGAGAAAGAAACCAGGGCCAGAGATTTGGAAGAGCAGCGAGAATTAACGTGGAAGAGACTGGAAGCGGTCGCAGCACAAGCTCAGCGAGAGAATATGGTTTTGGTTAGCTGATTATTTTCGTAAGAGATAATTGAGTTGGCTATTCTTTCTTTTTTTTTTTCCCCCCTTGTTTTTGACATTGAGGTCTTAAATCTTATTAAGGCTATAACTGACGTATTATAGAAAGGAGGAGAATATATATATATGTAATGCTTTTTATGTAACAAGGAATTCGAATTGTCCTTCTGCTGACTATTAACAGTTAAAGGAAATTGATTAATTATTCTTGCTTTTCCCTTTTGTTTCACGGAGTAAAAATCCACATCCTTACGTTCTTTTTTTTTTTTTTTTCATTCATAATTTTTCTTGATCAATGTTCTCTTCCTGTTTGCACATATATGGGCTTCATGATAATGATGTTCTGCACTTCTGCTTGGTTTGGAAATGCTGAAATCCTACAACAATCTCCCAACAAGAGTGTCTGGCATTTCTCTCACTTAACTATTCATGATTGACAAATTACCCCCCGATAAATTTTTAATTTTGACAAATTATTTCTTGATGATGACTGTTACGCAGAAATGTTCTGGTACAAGTTAATCGAGCTCGTTTTAAGGAAGGGATTAGAATTTTAGACAAGGATTGGACAACACTGTCAAAATTAAAGGGATAAGTGCCGCGCATTTCAGGCATTAAGTTGCCGACTTGACAGAACACCCAACCCGTTGAAAATTGCATCTTTTTGAAAGGAGGACTTTGCTTCTTTCTAGACCTCGTTTATGTTCAATTATTTGAGCTTCTAACACTGATTTTGTATTTATGTAGGCAAGTACATTTGAATCAAGCAAATGCAAATGCAAATGCAAATGGATTTATAATTGATGTATCTGCACACGGTTAGGGGCCCACATATAACAGAGCTTTAGATGAAGTTCTAAAAAGCATTATGTAGACGGTTTGGCCGTTTGATCCAACACAAAGACATGTCCATGTTAACCACCTTGCTATTATCATTGTAACTTGTAAGAAGAAAAACAAAACATCCCAAAATGAAAAAAAACAAAAAACAAAAAACAAAAAAAACAAAAATGGTCGGTTCATATAACAAGTAAATACAGTCACATGATTAGCAAAAAAAAAAAAAAAAAAAAAAAAAAAAAAAAAAAAAAATAAAAAAAAAAAAAAAAAAAAAAAAAAAAAAAAAGGAAATACGGCCACAAGGCTCTGAATGTGACGTGGCATGTAAAATGCCACCTCAGCCGCCCATATCCTATCCTTTCCGAAAATTTCCCCCTTTTTTAAAATATATTTTGTACAAGATATGAGCCTTAGCCCCTAGCACAAAAATCCACCAATTACACGCCCAAAATATGAGCTTTTAGTCAAAAAGTGCGCCTCAAATAAATTAGTTATACATACTAGTGAGAAAAGACCTAAAAACCTATTAACATAGAGAGAGAGAGAGGGAAGTGCTTTGGAGACCCCACAAAATGGGCGTCGCATATTTTAGTTATGTGACACTACATGTTCTTTGATGCTTTTCAAACAACAATAATGGCAGTGAAACAAATGGGGGACCAGGAAATCCAAAAAAATTGTGAAATTTCTTTCTGTTTTCTTTTCTGTACTTTTTTCTAATTATGAAATTTCATCAATTCCTTTTTTCAAACTTCTATAATGATGCTAATAATAATGGTAATGATAATAGAGCACCACAGTTTGTGATGGGATACATGAGTAAAATAACAGTAAGAGACAAAAAGATTGCAAATAAAGATGAAGGGGTGGAGGGGCTTGCTGATGCTCCGCTCCCGAATATCATTCCGAAGAAGTCACCATCATCATTGCTGGAGGCCCCGCGGCCGCTTGTGCTGGTCGCCCCGGTGGTGGTCCCACCGCCGCTGAATCCCGGGTATGATATCCCGTCCCTGCCATTAATTGATCATAGGATTAACAGACAGTAGTGATGAGATACATGACTCAAGAGAAAAAGCCCCTAAATGGAAATTTGAATTAAGAGAACGCTCCATCATACAACGGTTGTGATAGTGATGATAATGTTAGACGTACCCACTTTGATTAATGTATACCAACATATTAATCAAAGAATTAGTATATGACCTAATAGAGACAATTCTCAAACCTTCAAAAGGAAAAGAAAAGAGGAAAAGAAATCTCTTCAAATGGAAGTACGAATCAAGATATGCGGTGCCATGGTAACTAAATGGAACTAATCTTTAGTCCTAATCTACCTTACATTGAGATGTGAATATGAATTAAGTTTAAGAAATTAGTAATCTATATATATATATATATATATATATTTATATGTGTCAATGCTATGGTCCTGCTAAGAAGACCATACTCCCACCCTAACACACAAAAAATAAACGTAAAAATATATTTATTCAACTTTAACACTGACGTTGTAAGTACAAAGCATCAAGAAATTAAGTTATCCTATACTAGTGTTACTCCTTTTAAGTCAACTTATGTTGAATAAATGTTATGTTACACTTCTCACTTTTATATTCTATATGTTGTTACATGAAAGTTCAATCCTTTTAGGATTACATAGGCCCCATTTATAAAAACCTATATTAATTAGAGAGCTCTAAGCCCTTTAGGCTTCAGTGATGGGGTCTCCACAGGATACTCACATAGGTCCCACATGGCAGAAACTTCTTTTTATTTTTGTTCAAATAAAATACCCTTGAATTAAGAACTTAAATATTATAAGCTCAAGGGACAGAATCTAAAGTGGCATGCCAAAACAAAACTATTACAATATGGGACCAGCTTGAAGAAAGTAGCAACATTATTAGTTAGGAAAGGGCATGGGTCACTCGAGTGACATGAGACCCTAGATTAGGGCCGATTTCCTCTAACGGAAAACTATGCTCAAATAGTCAAGCCAATCCAAAGACTCAAAATAATGTAAATATTATTTGGCGAGGATGAAAGTATCATGGACTAAAACCATCAGAATACCTTGGCAGAATCATGAGCTTCTAAATGTTTGAAACCAAAACTAATTGTCATTTCCATAACACATAAGACTAGAAATGGGTTAAATTTTTGCTTTAAGTTCTCCCATGAGAGTCCTTGTCCGTATGCTTTAAGCAATACTAAAAGACATCCCTGGTATTGAACCCCGCATACTAACAAAATGTGGATTTCACAAATCAATCTTTACTTTTTACTGAGCACTCTTATTCAATTTCATAGGACCATAATCTCATCACTCATAAATAATGAGCCCCACCTAATAGAACTCACATAGAACCTATCAAATGAGACTTATCATTTATGAATGATAAACTTATAACCTCATGGAGTTGAATTTTATCCTATATTAATTATAGTACTCAACACCAACAAATATTTTACTGTTATTTTTGTTTATATATTTGGTTAGTCTCTTTTGCCAACAGTTTCAATTAAACATTACACTCGATTAGAGGGCAGAGCAGAGACCAATAAAAGTCACAAGACGACTCCCAAGTGGGGGAAGTAAAAGGACAGAATTGCAATAGAAAAAAGAGGCAAAGAAGGCAGGAGAAAGCAATGGGACTTGGTGAAAGCACCGGTTCCTATGCTGTACTCTGTGGCTAGTTGTCTCATCGTCTAGGCCCATTTCATATCAATATCAGAAGTGGGGTCCAATTGTTCAGATAAAATATGGGGGTGGCCCACTCATCATGGCTGGAAAGCAGATGTGAGCGAATAAAAACCCAGTCACATTCCCTATGCAACTAGTCACTCACCACTTGTTTGGTTAATGGTTTTGTTTAGGCGTTTGTTCGGTAATTTAAATTTTTAATTTGAGTTTGATGTGATTTTATATAAAAAATATTTTATTATAATAAAAAAAATTAAATTTGACTTTGTTGTTGAAATGAAAGGACCCTTACAAACTCAAATTCTCAAATAACAGAAGCCCCACTTGCTGACTTTTTCTCTTTTTCTCTATAGCACTTTCTTCTTCTTTTCTTTTTTTTTTTTCCGTACCATGAATAACCAATACCCCTGAATGATAAGCACAACCAGAAAATTTAATTCTCGTATAGGATTATGACTTACATTCATATTTTGAACTAAATTAATAATGTAGTAAATACCTCATTTTCCAATTTCGTTATTTATTTACTCCAAAATTAAGAACCCAAATAAATAAAAATTAGGATACAATACTAGTGTTGTCTATTTTGATCTACTAATTATTTGCACTACTAATTTAGTTCAAAATTATTATTATAGTTGCAAGCATAGTCTAAAAGTAGTTCTATACCTAATTTCAACATAAGATGATGAATTCGAATTCTCCTAACCTAACCAAGTTAAAAAATAATTATTATTTACTTAACATCTTAGAGTCCTTTCTAGCTTAACTAATAGTAAATGGAACAAATACAAAAGAGTTGTTTATGATGTAGTTCGTTGATTCGAATTTTTAATTCGAGTTGAAATGTGAGTTTATGTAAGAATTTTTTATTATAATAAAAAAATTAAATATGACTGTTTTTAAAAAAATTTTATTATAACAAAACTTAAATTTTAAATTTAAATTCATAAAATAAACAGGACTGACTCATACTCAAAACCATCTCTTCCTTAGTCGATATATATGCGTTTTTTGGGTCCTAATTTTTTGAACGGAAGCTGAAAAGAAAGTGTTTTGGGCCGAACAAAGTTTCACATACATGAATGAGGTTAAAATCCCATTGGCACAAATAATAATGCTGCTCAAATGGCTATGTTTAATTAAGCATAATAATAAAAGGAAAAGGACAAAATTATAGGGAGTAAATAAAGCTTATAGCTGTCGAACGTTGTGGTATCACTCATGGTAGGGGAAGCAGGCTAAACACTGTCAAAGGTCAAATTAGTCTGAGAACTGGACCCCACTAACGAGTGACGGATCAAACGGTCAAAAGTTTAAGTGGTTGTTTGATCGTGAAATTCTTACCCCAATTTAAATTCATAATTTATTATAATATTTTTTTATAAAAAATACGTATAAATTAAAAATAATTTTAATTTTATAATTCTAAACCACTGTACGTCTCTCAAAAGAGACATATACTCTCGGCAGGCCATAAAGAAAGTGTAATTTTGCCAAAAGGGTAAGCGAATAAAAAAAAAGAAAAGAAAATAAACCTTTTTTTCGTGATAATTAAAGAAAATAAACTTTGTCCACGGAAAGACAGTGAGGAAACAGTCCCAATACTGAAACATTTAAGTAGAGAAATTCGTTCTCTAATTTAAATTATAATTCATAATTTATTATAATTTTTTCTCTCATAAAAAATATACATAAATTAAAAATGATTCAAATAATCCTTCACCAAACAAATCCTTCAACTGTAATAAGATTCTCATTACCAATACCCCGCATGATCACGTGAACCGATTGAAAACATAAAAAGGCTCAATTATTTTTTAAAGAAATTTAGATTATTTTTAAGAAAGGGAAAAAAGAACATTTTTTATTGTCGTTTTCGTAAATCTGCCGACCACGGTTTTTGCATCGGCAGGAGTTCAAGAAAAACCCAAAAACAGGGAAAATTGTGGGACAAGGGCGGGTATATTATATTTAATATTTAATTTTTCCAAATTAAGGCTTCAAGAAGTGTCCCAGTTAGTGATTTACCAAATACATTGTTATGTTTTAATAAACTAATTCAGAGATCAGGAAGAAAAGGACCAACAAACAAAAGATTGTGGTAAAAAGACGAAAATACCCTTGGCAGTGACAGTTAAGGTGTTTACCTGGGGTCGCCGAAGACGCCGGCATTGGAGGTGAGCTGCTCGATGAGGGCGGCGGATTTGGGCTCAACACTGGAGGCCTTGGCGTACTGAGTGCTCAGCTCCGCCCCGGACGGCACGAAGAATGCTCCATTTACCATTACGTCCCCCTCTGTTCTCCAGTTCCAGTCCGCCCATTCCCCCTCCGACGTATCCACGCGCTTCGTCACCTGAACCCAAAAAAAAAAGGCAACCCAACACAGCCAGAAACAGTTCCAAGGTCAGTTCAGGTGTTCGTACGCACACGCGCCGAACAGTGCGCGTGTGAATGTTCCTACCAGTAATAAATCGGTTTCATGATTGTGGTCTATGAGTCTGACACCACTGTCGCTTTCACAGTCTACCCTTTTTCAATTATTTCACGAGGCCCTCTTCAATAACTTCGTTCCATGCAAATTTTTCTATTTGCCAACTCTTTTCTTGTCTCATTGACAGGATAAAAAAACGGAAAAAGAAGAAAAATACCAATCTTCCAGTCATATTTTAGAAGAGAAGTTCTTAAATTAGGAAAAACAAAGTAAAAATTGAAGTAAAAAGGCAAATAACTTCCAAGTCCTAACGTGCAAAAAATTTGAGATTATGACGCGACAGGAGCCAATCCAACAACCACTTTTCTATCATCCAACCCAAAACGCCTAACAAGAAAACACCACCACCCACCCGCCAACCACAACGGAGGCGCGTGTGCTCACGCGCCGCCACTCCAAGTGGGGACCACTCTACATGCAATCAAAATTTCAAGCACAAGTAAAAAAGAAGAGCTCAGAGAGTGTAAAAAAAAGAAACATCACAAAACGAAAAAACGATCATTCTCCTTTAAAAAGGCAGCCCTTAACCCCCCCCCCCCCACCACCCCCCCAACTGCAGACAAAAAAGAAAACC